TAGCATCTTATAAAAATGAGTCTCAAAACCCCAAAACCCCAAAACCCCAAAACCCCATTGATTCATGATTAGCATATGATATGTTAAAAATTAAAAAACATTTATCTTATGCACATTAAATATATGAGGTAACTTTAGAAAGCCTCAACAATAATATGTTTCAGCAGCAAGGATTATTCGATTAATTTGGTAGACTACTATCAGTTCTTGAGTACTTTTCCTTCAACTTCATTGAGTTCTATACCTTCTTTTCTTATACTTTCTATTGAACCTCATGTATATCTGAAATAAATGTAAGTTTAATGTTAAATTTATTACTTTCCATCAATGTTTCAACTACCTCTTTAATGTTTATATCAGCCAATGCTGATGATTCTCCTATGTAAAGAAGTTCATTATCTTAAACGAACTTCATTATTTCTAGTTTAGGTACTTATCGAAGCTATTCATTCTCCATCACCAAATCAAACTTATTAGCTATATGTTGTGTTTAAAAACGAATTTTTACCCATTAAAGCAATTACTAGGTTTTCATCTGCATGTTCTCTTAGACAATTTAGCCAATATGGTAATTAGTCGAAACTTTCTCTGTCAGTAATATCAAAGACTAGCAAAGCCCCAACTGCCGATCTATAATGCCCAGTTGTAATTGATCTATATCTCTCTGACCCACTAGTATCCCAAATCTGTGCTTTAACGACTATCCCATTTTGAAGTACAATTTTCTTTGTCAGGAATTCTACTCCAATAGTTGGAGAGATACGAGTAAATATCCCCTTGTGATATCTATTATAGTATGAACTTTGAAATGATTACCTTTAAAGTATATTTGATTTTCCTACGCCCATCTCACCACTTAATACGACTAAGTATAAATTGAATAGTTAATGGTTTACTTTTATAGACATAGTCACACTCTGGATCGCTTCTACCATTCATCATTTTCTAATATAATTTTTATTGCAATAATATAAACTCATTTATTTAAGCATTATGAGCACAGAGGGGTTTTGGGGTTTTGGGGTTTTGG